TCATAGACTGTCACCTTCTACACACAAGGCAAATGCATTGCTATTAAGAACAATAAGATTCTAGTCCTCATTAATCTAAATAAAGGCAGAAAGCTGTACTCTAATTAAGAAATCACCAAGGAGGAAACCTTATCCTCACCAGAATTGGCAGGGCAAACTACTACAGGTAGTCCTCAACTTTGACCATTAATTTAGCAACCATTTGAAGTTACAATGGCACTGAAAAACATGATTTCTGACCAGTCCTTGCGCTTACAAATGTTGTGGTATCCCCATGATCACATAATTGTGATTCGGGTGCTTGGCAACCATTGTGCATTTATGATAGTCCCAGCATTCCAAGGTCACATGATCACCATCTGCAACCTTCCCAGCCAGGTTATAACACGTAAGGTCAATGGGGAAGCCAGCAGGAAAGGTTGGAAATTGCGGTCATGATGACTTTTCCAGTCCCAACTGTGATCATAACTCTAGGACAGTGGTGGAGAACCTATGGCACGGGTGCCAGAGGTGGCACTTGGAGCCCTCTCTGTGGGCACACGTGCCGTTGCCCCAGCCTCGCCTCTCCCTGTGACCCCCTCTTCTCCAGCAGCCCCCCTGAAAAAGAGTCGCCCCTGAGCATGGCCCACGTGGAGTAGCGCAGCCAAGGACATGGCAGCCAGGCAGCATAGACAAGACTCTGCCCTCACACCTCATCATGTGCAGTTGATGCTGCAGGATGGGGGCAGAGAGCGTGACTGCTATAGCACTGCTGGGCTGCCTGGGTGATCTGTGGTGGGCCCTGGAGACGGTGAGTGGCCCTGCGGGCAGGCGGGGCGGGGGGTGGGACAGGGGGTGGAGTGGAGGCAGGGCCAGTTTTTGGGCACTCGGTCTCTAAAAGGTTCGCCATCACTGCTCTAGGACTATCTATTTATATAAACAGGCAGCAAACCCACACTCCCTCACACTGATGATGTAACCTAGCTGGATAATGAAATGTCTGGAAACAAACAACCCGGCTCAGAGAGCATCAAGAACTCCACATCAAAACATCAACACACCGGGGTCAAATTAGGCCACTAGCCATCTAGACCAGAGGTCCTCAACCTTTTGAGCACCAGGGACTGGTTCCTTGGAGAGAGGTTTTTCTGCGGACCGGAGGGGGCATGATTTCACGTCCTGCCTGCATCCCGTGGAAGGGGCTTTGCTTGTTTGCGCGGCCCAGTTGCTGGCATGCCACGGCCCAGCGCCAGTCCACAGACCGGGGGTTGGGGACCCCTGATCTAAACCATTGTTCAAATTCTAAACTTTCAGAAAAGATCTCTTCAAGCCATCTGGAGTTGTCAGAATGCAACTTGTGTTTTGTTATAGACTTGTCTTTCTTCTGCTTAAGGTTTTTGGGAGAATCTGCTAGGAACAAAAGGCTAAGCTGGAAAATTCAGAGCCTGATCATGGTCCCATTTTGTAGCTAAGTTCACATAACATGAATTTAGGATTCAGATGAATAAAGTCAGATGGACCTTTTTTAACATATCGTGTTATATCCAGTGGCATTGGGAGGGTTAAATTCAGAAGGCGTGTCACAATGTGAGCCCAGCCCCTTTTGAATGATGCATAGACATAAGGGGTGGAATTTGTACCTTGACACTCCATTCACCCCCTTGCTGTTTCTAACCACCAATGCTCCCTCCATCATTTGCAGCTAGTAAGCAACCTCTTTAAGGCTTGAAATGTTGATTTGCTTCAGGTAAGAGAATACAGAATAACAGAGGTCTTCTAGTCCTGCTATGTCAGAAGATAGAAAAGGCAGAAAAGTGCTTGACGAAAGCAAATGCGAAGTCCTAATTTCTATAGACACTGCGCTGAAATGTGACCGAATACCCTTTATTTTATATTGATTTGCAAGTAAATCCCTGTCTTTATTTAGAAGCCTTTAATAAATTCGGGGCAGCTTATAAAACCTTAGATTTGCACTACTTGCATGATTTTTGCAAGAAACCTTGGTTTTAATTCAGTTATGGCCTTGATGAGTCTCATGAAGCCAATTTGCATACGGGCAACCAAAAGGGATTTGATTCCTGACATAAATCCAGTAGCTTTCAAATATTCTTACCTTTAGAGACCCAATCCCACAATTAATTATCCACTGTAATCTCAGCATAAAGGATTCACGGGACCACTCACTTATGAAACTAATCAGGTACATTTAACTTTGGCATTTATTCAAAATGCTCTGTGGCGCATAGAAACTGCTGCACTGAAGTTGCAGGTTGCCTTAACCAGGGGTAGGCAGCCTGGGCTCTTTTATGACTAGTGGACTTCAAGTCCCATAATTCCTGAGCCAGCCACGCTGAGGGGAAAGGGAGAGGTTTCCAAGCTGAGCCATGCTGGCTCAGGAATTCTGGGAGTTGAAGTTCACGAGTCATACAAGAACCAAGGTTGCCAACCCCTGCCTTATACCCTCACCCGAAATATTCAAGAAACTACAAGAGGCCCCAAGTTAGGGTGCTACAAAAAAAGAATATTCACCCAGACAGAGAACTTTTCTACTGAAGTGCCTTTTACAGGTAGTCCTTGACTTGCGACCACAATCGGGATCAGAATTTCTGTTGCTAAGCAGGGCGGTTGTCAAGGGAATCATATCTGATTTTACAACCTTTTTGCCCCCATTGTTAAGCGAATTGCTGCAGTTAAGTGAATCACACTGTCATTCAGTGAACCTGGTTCCCCCCTATTGTCTTTGCCTGTCAGAAGCCAGCTAGGAAGGCCAGCTGGTTGTCAGTCAGGGGATTACCTGTAGAAGTCCACCAACAGAACGGAAAGCAAAGTGCCGCATCTGTATTTCATACTCGGTAGCTGTAAGCAAGAGACACAACCACTAATCATGACAGCTTTTTATGTAACAATCATGGCTTAATTGCCATTGTCTTCCATTCAAACCATCTGAAGGCAGGACAAGAAGCAATGGATGGAAATTAACCAAAGAGAGAAGCAACCTAGAACTCAGGAGAAATTTCCTGACAGTTAGAACAATTTATCAGTGGAAGTTGTGAATGCTCCAATGCTGGAAGTCTTTAAGAAGAGATTGGACAGCCATTTGCCTGAAATGGTATAGGGCAGTGGTTCTCAACCTTTTTAATGCCACGACCCCCAACCGGTCCTAAGTCGAAGACTACCCAACCAGCCGTAAGTCAAGGACTTTCCCTGCCCGGGAGCGCCACGCATGCATGGTGCCACCCCCTGCGCCGGCCGAGGCATAGCTGGCAAGCAGCAGAGACGGCGCAGGCCAATCATCGGATGGGCCACCAGCTGGCCCAGCCCAAGGGAGGTAAAGCACCCGCCGGGCCCCACGCGCGCCAGCAACCCTCCCTGCACCCGCTGGCCTCCCACCTCCCACCCCTGGCCCTCTTTTACTTACATTTTTAGTAATTGCTCAGCAGGGAGGGGTGGAAACTTCCAGACAGCTCGCCTTCGCTGCAGACAACTTGCAGCACCGTTTGCAGAATGGGACTTTTGGTGGGCTCAGCAGGGCAGAGACAGTCTGGACAATTCCTATTGGCTTTTGAAAGCCAATAGAATTAGACTCTATTCAAGAGAGTCTATTCTATTGGCTTTCAAAAGCCAATAGAATAAAACGGAGTAGCACAGCTAAGGAAAAGGGGGAAAAAATGGCGGACTGCGTTGTTTGGCGACCCCCGTGAAATGGTTGTTCGACCCCAAATGGGGTCCCGACCCACAGGTTGAGAACCACTGGTATTGGGTTTCCTGCCTGAGCAGGGGGTTGGACTACATGACCTCCAAGGTCCCTTTCAACTTTATTATTATTGTTGTTATTGTTGTTATTATTATTACTATAACCTTGCTGGCTTAGACTACTGAACCTATCTGCTGCTTCTAACCAAGGATCAATATGGTACCAATTGGAGACCCCGAAGAGAGGCACAGAAACATCTTCTCTGGATATGTTTTTCCTTAATTTCTTGTTCAGCAGCAGACTGCCTCTCAACCAAGGGATTCCATTACCAATTCCCATGGCCGATAATAATAGGAGGATAATTAGATTAGATTTGACTCATGACTCATGAAACCAAACTTCTTGCTTTTCACAATGTCTTGGTCTTCACACAACATTATAGAGCTGTCCTCATGCACAGGTGGTTGACCTACCACCTTTCATTTAATGACCGTTCAGTTACAAGAGCTCTGAAAAATGTGACTAATGTCCGTTTTTCATACTTATGACCAAACAGAAATTTTGGGCTCAATTGTGGTCATAAGTCGAGAACTACCTGTATTCATAGTGCCCTGTCCTCTGAATCAGTAAGTTCCCTTCGGGGAGGGGGGGACTTATGTCAGGGAAATCAGGAGGTTCAAGCAGTTCCAATGAGAATAAAAGTTTATTCAACAAGAATCTGAGCCACAGGTAGTCCTCAACGTACGACCACAACTGAGCCCAAAATTTCTGTTGCTAAGTGAAACATTTCTTCAGTGGGTTTTGCCCCATTTTGCAACTTTTTTTTTTTTGCCAGATTTGTTAAGTGAATCGCTGCAGTTGTTAAATTAGTTACACGGTTGTTAAGTGAATCTGGCTTCCCCATTGAGTTTGCTTGTTAGGAGGTCACAAAAGGGGATCACATGACTCCAGGGCACTGCGTCATAAATATAAACCAATTGCCGAACTTCACAACCATGGGGATGCTGCAACGATCTGCAATGGTCATCAGTGTGAAAAATGGTCATGTCACTTTTTCCAGTGTTGTTGTAACTTCGAACGGTCACTAAATGAACTGTTGTAAGTCTAGAACTACCTGTACTACTGTAACAGTCAAGGGAAATGAGCAGGAATTAAGGTATTCGAGGTGGGATGGAGTTAGATCTCTTGCAGACACGCAGGGACTCATGACTAATGACACATTTGACCCCTTCCTCAGACTCCTACAATAGCATAGCTAAGGACTATTAAGAACAACTCTACCCCTGAATGGGCCCAATCCTAGGTGACAACCAACTTGGAGGCCTACCTCTCTCACGGACAAAATATGCCAGGTAGAGGTCAAGCTCCTTGACCGAGACACTGATGTGGTGTGGCTGGACACAGAGGACAGGGTTGGTGCACTGTGCGGCCTTCACAAGGCGTTCCCCATCGGTGCTCTCCAGGGGGATTCCTTTGAAGAGGATCACCATGACGAGGTCGAGACGCCAGACTTTGTCAGCCTGGCGGAGACAGTCGATTCGACGCATTTTTCCCTTCTGATCAGGGTTGGAGAGGACGCAGCATGAGGGCTTCTTCCCCGTGATGGAGAGCACAAAGTCCTCCCGGTATTCGGGCCGGATGTCCTTGCGCAGCTTGGCCAGCAAGCGCGAAGCCCACTTCTGCTTCACTTCTGGCTTCTCATTGAGCAGCTCGTCTTTGACAGCTCGCTCCTCGTCTTTCGTCATCCGTTTCTCGTGTTTCTTGAAGTACTTGCGCTTCCGGGCTTGGAGGTTGAACCAGGTGTAGGCGAAGGCCCGAACATGAGGGAGGAGGGCCTCAATGAAAGGATGGAATTCATCCTGAAGATGGGAAATTAAGAAAAAAAGAAATGGTCAGGCATAAGCTGGGCTTGGAAACATTGTTCTACTCCCATCAAGCTAACAAAAGGATGTGTGTTGGATTGCCAGGTTCATAGAAACCTGCCTGAGTTTAGAATCAGACACCTTAGGCCTTACTCTTCATCTTATCACCTTACAGATAATCCTTGACTTGCAACCGGTCGCTTAACAATTGTTTGAAGTTTGACAAACCTATTTATGGGGTACTTATGACCTGGATTTGAAGTTCTGATGGTCAAACTTTCCCCATGATGACATGACCGGACTTTGGGTACTCAGCCACTTGATCATGGAGGCAAGAGCCCTGGTGGCGCAGTGGTTAAAATGCAATATTTCAGGCTAACTCTGCCTATTGCCAGAAGTTCAATCCCGTCTGGCTCAAAGTTGATTCAGCTTTCCGTCCTTCTGAACTTAGTAAAATGAGGGCCAGGTTGTTGGGGGCAATAGGCTGACTCAGTAAACTGCTTAGAGAGGGCTGTAAAGCACTGTGAAGCGGTATATAAGTCTAAGTGCTATTGCTATCACTCCAGAGCACTGAAAGCGATACACGGCCTCTTTCAGGGCTGAAGGCAGGCCTACCCACCTATTTATAAAAGGCAGTGTCAATGCCTGTATCAATGCCCAAGGATGTTTCTCTAAAACAGTGTTTCCCAAACTTGACAATTTTAAGGCATGAGGACTTCAACTCCCAGAATTCCACAGCCAGCAACTAAAAGTTTTTACCACCAGGCAGCTTTGGGGTCATTCTTGGGAATAGGGTCCCCCTTGGTCTTATTACTCATTTGATCAAATTTGATTAAAACATTTTGAGCATTTTTAGATGAAGGCCTGTGTAAGTGAATGACAATAACAGTAACAGTGCCACACCAGTCCTTGATTTATGACCATAGTTGGGACCAGAATTTCTATAGCCTAGCAAGGTGGTTGTTAAATGAGTCACACTCTATTTTACCTTTTTTGACATGGTTGTTAAGTGAATCACTGCAGTTGTTAATTGAACCAAGTGGTCATTAAGCAAATTCAGTATCCCCCATTGACTTTGCTTGTTGGAAGTCAGCTGGGAAAGTCACAAGTAATGACCACATGGCCTCAGAACAGTACAACCATCATAAATATAGGCTGGTTGCTAAGTGCCCAAATTTTGTTCATATGACCATGGGTAGGCTATCACGGTCATAAGTATGAGAACCAATCATAAGTCCCTTTTTAAATTTTGAACAGTCACGAAATTTATTTATGAGACTTATTTATTTATTTATGAGACTTATATACCGCTTTAAGTGCAAGCACTCTCTAAGCGGCGTACACCAGTAAGCAATGTATATATATATATTTACATTGCCCCCAACAATCTGGGTCCTCATTTTACCTACCTCGTAAAGATGGAAGGCTGAGTCAACCTTGAGCCTGTGAGATTTGAACCGCTGACCTGCTGAACACAATCAGCTAAAGTAGCCTGCAGTACTGCACTCTAACTGCTGCGCCACCTTGGCTCATGAATGGTTATAAGTCTACTGTACAGGTTTTCTGTACAATAGTAAATATTTTTGAATATTTTTCTTATAAAATCCACCTGGTGTTCCATACTATCTTTCCTTCATGGAATTAGTATATTAAAACTCTGTATTAGTATATTAAAACTCTGTATTTCACAGAGGACAAATTGCTGTATTTTCTTTTAAGGAAAATCTGCCTCAGGAGGCTTCACAGTTGAGCAGATATTGCCTGTCAGCCATTTCTCCAGCTTGAGCAGAGATATTGTCTGTCACCCATAATGCCCTGAGGAGTTGATGGGTCACGGATTCCATTTGCAGGAACAAAGATAGCCACACTTGGACACCAGGTTATCTCTGTCCTACAAGAAGAGGGAACACAATGCACCAGATTCAGGGCTACCAGCAAAAATTCAAGCTAATTATAAGCAGATCTAGACAGGGATGTCCAACCTTGGCAGCTTTGAGACATGTGGACTTCAACTCCCAGAATTCCCAGCTGGTTGGAGAATTCTGGGAGTTGAGGTTCACAGGTCTTAAAGTTGCCAAGGTTGGACACCCTGGTCTAGAAGAAAGGGAATGTTCCTGTAAGCATCTGTCCCAAGCTCCCTAAAGTTGAAACCCAGGAAGAAGTGGTTTCTCCAGGTTTTAGCTTAAGCAAAGCTTCTTGGCAGTTGTCCCACGTGCTTTGCTTCAACTGAAGTAACAGAGGTTTCTCCAGTGAGTCTTCCAACCCCAACGAGAGAGGACAGTTAAGAGTTTCCTTTCAGGAAAAGGGAAAGGAAACTAAATGGGTTGCTTAATTTCACAACAAATCGAGCTAGAAGGTCTAAGTCAGTGGTTCTCAACCTTTTTAATGCCGCGACCCCCAACCGGTCGTAAGTCAAGGACTACTCAACCAGTCGTAAGTCGAGGACTACTCACCTGGTGCAGCACCGTTTGCAGAATGGGACTTTTGGCGGGCTCAGCAGGGCAGAGACAGCCTGGACAATTCCTATTGGCTTTTGAAAGCCAATAGAATTAGACTCTATTCAAGAGAGTCTATTCTATTGGCTTTCAAAAGCCAATAGAATAAAAGGGAGTAGCACAGCTAAGGAAAAGGGGGAAAAAATGGTGGACTGCGTTGTTTGGCGACCCTCGTGAAATGGTCGTTCAATCCCAAATGGGGTCCCGACCCCCAGGTTGAGAACCACTGGTCTAAGTAGTAGCTGAAAAGAGAAACAGTGGCACTCTTATCCAGAAAACTGATTTCACGGAACAGCGATGAGAGGAAAGGGAACCACTTCATGCTGGGCACAGGGGCATTCACACACTCACAATCACACACACAAAATGAGAAAGGCAGCCTGATGGGGTCAGCATGAAGTTCCACATTGGAGATGGCTGCTAGATTGATGGCAGACTCTACCTCCTCCCCTTTGCTTTCTGCTCTCCACCCATCCAACTTTTGGGTTATCATATTATCACTTCCTTTGTTGTTATTTATTTATAAAATTTATTTACCACCCATTTTGTATCCTTTCAACAATGATTTTATTCTTTATTTTATTGTTCTGTTATTTTATTTCTGTTTATACACCTTTTCATTTTTCTTTTTATTATTGTAAGCCGCCTAGAGTAGCCCTATGGTGCGACAGGTGGCAAATAAATGTAATAAATAATAAATAACAATAATAGTAATGAAGGGCAAGTAAGTGGAGAAGACAGAGGTACCACATCTCTTCTAAACACACCATACTACACTCAGGAATGTCTCCTAAGGGCTCTTGACTAGAGTCTACCACAGAAAGGGTCCTTGCTGGATGGGATGAAGCATTCATGGGACATTGGATAGATAAGTTAAACAGGTTATAATGACACATCTCTATGCCAAAAATGGCAGACAGGGAATAATGGCTTGCTCAGTAGAGCACTGAATGGATGTGACATACATAAAAATCAAACTTTTGATCTATGTAGGCCAGTACTGAGTACAAATAGTGCTTGACTTACAACCATTCGTTTAGTGACTGTTCAAAGTTACAATGGCACTAAAAAGTGACCTATGACCTTTATTCACACTTACAACCGTTGCAGCATCCCCATGGCCACATGATCAAAATTCCTAGGGTCATGTGATTACCTTTTGGGACTTCTGACAAGCAAAATCAATGGGGAAGCCATTGAACAACTGTGTTACTAACTTAACAACTGCAGTGATTCATTTAATAACTGGGACAAGAAAAGTTGTAAGAGGAGGCACAATTGACTCAATAACTGTCTTGCTTAGCAATATAAATGTTGGGCTCAATTGTGGTTGTACCTGTTATCTTGATTGACCGTAATCAGTCTGGAGCCCTTTCCCAGCTGAACCAAGAGCTATCAACAATTAAACCTGGAACCAATATGTAAGCAGAGGTCTTCAAACTTGGTCCTTTTATGACTTGTGGACTTCAACTCCCAGAATTCCTCAGCCAGGCATGCTGGCTGAGGAATTCTGGGAGTTGAAGTCCATAAGTCATAAAAGGGCCAAGTTTGAAGACCTCTGGTGTAAGGCAAAGCAAGGCCTCAGCAAGGGCTGTAGCCCTGTCTTCAGAGTTTTACCTGGCTAAAATGCTGGGTTTTGCTCAGCTACAAAAATGCCATACACTTAAAGTTTATTCACAAGATTAAAATTGTGCACTTGGGCAGGCTAAGTAGCTCTCTTGTGTTCCTGCACCACACCCAGCCCTGTCCTCAATATAGCAAAGGATGAACTGTTACAGCAGGAATCCTGTTGCCCTAAGTTGCTCCCAGCATGATGTACAACTAAGTCATTCTGTTTAAATTATGATGGGAGACGGTGTGAGTACAGCGGTTTTAGTAAGATAGATATTAACTTTCAATGCGTACAAGATGGTGTGATAATGTTGGGAAATTGTGCCATGCCTCAGCATCTATATATTACTGTGGTTCTCACAGTAATGATTGTCCAATCATGTTCGCTCAAACAGTGCATTATTTTTTGCCACAATTTTTGAATCAAAGTACCTAAATTCTGCTAACTTAAAGAATGTGTAAAAAAAATCCAGGACCCATGACTCCTGTGGAATTGAAATTTCCACAATGTTCAGACCAGTTTTATTGACAAAACTGTGGCCACTGATGAATCCCTGTGATCACGTGATCATGATTTCCGATGCTTCCTGCCAGCTGCCCACAAGCAAAATCAATAGGGTAGACAGGAGGAAGTCAGAAGACGGAATAATATTGACTAATGTTTGTTTGCCACAACTATTTTTCTATTGACGATATATATTATTCTTATATGATCACAGGACTGTTCTACATTGGGATAAAAAAAAAGTACAGCTAGCTAAAAATTAATATTCATTCTGATCATATCATATTGCACTACTGTTCTCTCAAAGAATGACCCAATGGGTATATCTATGACTAAAAAGTATTGTGTCTGTAACCCTTAACTGGACAAAACTGAATTGTGGGGCA